GTGTGTGTGTGTGTTTGTGTGTTTGTGTGTGTGTGTGTGTGTGTGTGTGTGTGTGTGTTTGTGTGTGTGTGTGTTTGTGTGTGTGTGTGTGTGTGTGTGTTTGTGTGTGTGTGTGTTTGTGTGTGTTTGTGTGTTTGTGTGTTTGTGTGTTTGTGTGTGTGTGCCTGACTTCACTGACAGAAATCTCCAGCCGAATCTGCGCAGCGATCATGGTGTCAGAAGCAGCAAAGGACGTTCCTTCTCCTCAACATCCTCCCCCCCCCCCCCTTGCCCCTGATGGCACCCAAGCAAACCTGGTCCTTTTCATCTCAGAAACCAGCTAATGGGGTGTTGTTTGGGGTTTGCCCCTTGCAGATCTCCGTGTAGCTGGTGTCCACTTAGGTTGGCTCGTGTTTTTCCTTTTTTCGGGAAGCCCCTGGAAAAAACACCTCCGCCCCTTGGGTCGAGTCCCGCCCCGCCCTCTCTCCGCGCGCCTCGGAGTGCCAGTCCCGGATCCGCTCCGTGACCCAAGCCTGCTGTGGGTCCGAAACGAGACGGGGCTGTCGGACTGTTGGTGGGTTCGGCTTTTCCAAGCGCTCAACAAGAAAAAACACGAGCCGAACACCTAAGGCCTAAGGAGCCGGATGTTGGTGGATCAAATTTTCGTGTTTTTGTCCCTTCACCGAACGAAACGAAGAGCTGAACACCTTAAGGAGCCGGATGGCTGGGAGGGGGTCGATTCCATGAGTTTTCCTGTTGCGTTCCAGTTGTACATGTGTTTCCTTTGGTGCTTCCTCAAGGATCCTTGACATCACGGGTGTTTCTCAAAATTCGAAATGCCTTACGATTCCAACTGGTTCCTTTTGTTTCCCTTTGAATATCGACCAACAAGTTGAGAGAAACACCCACATGGGTATTCTATGGGGTTTCCAAGCAGCTTTTTTAACCATGGCTCTTTTCAAAACAAAAACCGGCCATGGTGTATCCGGGTTTCCGGGGGGTTCTCTAGAAAGAAGGAGCCCTGGAAAGAATGGAATGAGTCCATGGAGCTGCATTTGGGTTCGCTTTGGTGACCCCTCGGGTTGATTTAAAGGCAAGAAGGAAAACCACCATTTGGACGTCCCCAACTTGGTTGCCCTACGGGGCTGAGTGGAGTGAAGATGAAGCAGGCCTTGGATACGTGCTGCTGGATGCCGTCATCAAAGTACAGCTCCACCTGGCCATGAAGCCCACTGAGATGCAACAGGGATCCTTACATTACACACCTGAACATTGCCTTGTAAATGGTGGCTTCCTTTTGGTGCAAAAAGCCATGTTTCAATTGGGCATTTATCTTTAAGGAGCCCTGTGCAAATGTGCCTCTTTCTTTCCCCAGTCTTCCCTGCCAGCCACTCGCCCCTCCCCCCCAGTATTGCGCGTAAACCCTACTGTGGATGGACGAAATCCTGCACCACCTACGAAGCCCTGGAATGGTCTGATTCCCTGTATATAAATACCAACAAACAGTGGTTTCCCATGGTTTGTAAGTTGGTGCAGAATTTCGTCCATCCATAGTATGAAGCTGACTCTGCCACAACTATCTACCTGCGCCTAAAGAAGGCAAAACCGCTCGCTCCGCGAAGAAAAAAAATGGCTTCGCCTCCAGGAGCGAAGAGCTCATCACGGTGGCGACGTCCGTATCGCTGCTTTTCTCGCCCCCGCCAGTCTTGAAGTGGGCCTGCGGGAACCGTCGCATGGGAATGGAACACTTGTTCGATTTGTCCATAGCATCCATGCGGGCGTCCAATGCTGTTGCCCTGTCAGGAGCTGATGACGTCCGCAAACTGCGGCAAGCGAAACAACAGACGTCCGCCCGAGAAATCGCCGCATCGCCGGCCTGCACTCGGTCGCCCACTGCCCATTCGCGAAGCCGCACGATCCAGCCCAATGGCACCGTCTGCTGGATGGTGTCCTAAGGGTTTATCCCACGTCCAAGTGCTTGGCCCGTGCAATCACTAGAGGAACCAGCCATTTAGCAGGCTCCCTCATTTTTAATGCAGACCGCCAGATGTTTGTGTTTTTGTCTTAAAGCTGAACCCTCAAAAGTGGTTGGTTTCCTTCTGGCTTCCCTTCAAACCAGCACAAACAAGGGACCAATTACCAACGCTACTTTCTGGATTTCCTTTTCAGCCAACACTCAGCTTCCCTGGTTTGGATTGGTGGTGTGGTGGTTCGGGGGGGGGGGGGTTCCCATTTACCCTCCAACAAAACCAGGGGTTTAAATCCCCAAACCACCAATCCAAACCACCAACTAGGGGTTACCTGAAACACAAAAACACAAAAGGGTACCAGTAGGCAAAACGCAGATCCATTTAACTTCAAGCGCACCGATTTGCCTGGAACTGGACCTGGACGCGTCCGTCCATTGGCTCCGAGAGGATGATGCCTATGTCCGTAGATGTGCTCCGCCGGCCGTCGTCCCCCACCTGACGACGGAGGAAATCGACTGCGAAAAAGTCGTACAACGCCTGGGGCAGACGAGGAAAACGGCAGCCCACCGCCCACTCCCCCGAATCCTTGCAAGTTGTGCGGCATTGGTCTATGTGGTTGATGCTTCGCTTTGACTCAGACAAGTTGCTATGTCTTACTATGTCTTATCCAATTTGCTACGTCTTACTTGCAATACTCGTTTGTATGGTTATTACAGTGCGCCACTACACGTGCTATTTTGAATTGCTAGGTGCCTCGCCAACCTGTGCACCTCATGCACAGTTAGAACGCTGCTGGATTCCACGATGCAAACTCAACTGTTGTTCGAGTCCCGCAAATGGACAAGCTGTGACAAATTCTTGTCACCCTGTCGCTAACGTGACTGATCTTGCAGCTTAATCTACCTGGAATTTCCTGGAATGTTTTTTGGGGCTTTGACTATCCTAATGCGCATGCGTACGCAAAACGCTATGCTGCACATATCGGTGCAGTGTTGCACTGATAGCAAAAGTTGTGTTTTCCCTTTTCTTTGCGGCGGTGACCTTTAAAAAGCTGCCAGTGATTGGGGCAGTCTTCATAGCATGCAGCCTTCGCCAAACGCCCACGTCTTGAAATCAAAGCATCCATGCAATGTTGACCCCCGATCAATAAACCTCTGTTTATTTGCTTTGGGGGTGGTCCCCTCCAAAAGTGATGAGTCCCCACTAAAACCAGCAACACCCCATTTTGATAAACAGGGGGTTATGAAATCCGGGGTCAACATCTATCTGCCTGTCTTACCCCGTGCCCCCTCCTGCCGGCAAAACCGCCGCTCCAAAGGGCGGCCGGCGGCGGGCCTCGAAGTGCACGTCGGCCACGCTGCCTATCTCGACCTCAAGTTGAGCCGGGCGCGCTCGAGCTCGTCGTGCCACGTGGCAGCTCCCCAAAACTCCCCCAGACTTGGTTGCTGTTCACACCCCTCCGCAAAAAGTCAAACTTTTTGCGGGTTTCATGGAAACCCCCTTGATTTCAACCAAACAAAAATCAAGTCGAAAGATCCGACCCAGCAGCGGAGCCGCCGGACAAAACCGACACGAGCCAGGGCCCGGGCTTGGATGTTCCAGGGTCTAGCCCGGTGGCACACCTGCAAGCAATGCTTTCGGAGGCCACTCCAAATGAAGCCTCTGGGGAATCGGGCCTGAAGAATGTCTAACATGGTTTCAATCAATTCATGAATCACATGGGCTGTTAGGGGGGTTGGGTTTTCTGGTCATGACGATGTTTTTAGCCATATACCCAAACACATCCCCACACCAAGTATTTCGCAGCAAAAATGAAACGAACGATGTGCCAAACGGCGCTTCGATCGTTTGGCAAAACCAAAACGGCGCCGGCGGTGCCCAGGTCTTGGGCACGTTCTGCTCGATGTTGTCATCGAAAACTCGGCGCGCGAGTCGTGGGTAGCCGCGGGTTGCAAGCCGCAGGTTGCAAGCCGCGGGTTGCAAGCCGCGGTTGCGTCTCTCACTCTGCTCATAACTTTAGGTGAGTCACAATCCAACCACTAAACAAACAACTCAGGGGATGGCTGGGAACCACCAAGGAAATGTCTAGAAGTGAGAGAGTCAAGACCTGGTATTGAGACCCGGGTGGCAGAAGAAAAGAGAGAGAGAGAGAGCTATAAAACAGACCCATTTGAGTCATAATCAAAACCGGTAGGTATGAAAATGGTCTACCCAGAACCAGGCAAAGAATTAAAAAGGCGGAGATGCGCACCCATTTGGCCATGGGTCAAAATCCCGAACATCCCACCTACCCCAAAAATTGGATCCCATTGGTGTTGACCCACAGCCATTTATGGCTGGGACTATCCTAACCTTCGTCTACCCGGGTTTTGAGCACGTGCCTCAGGGTGTTTCGATGCGTCCCCCGGCGCCCAGCCAGGCTCTCCCCGCCGCTCCCGGCAGCTCCCCGCCTATGTAAACATCCTCCTTGCCCACCGCCAGCACGGAACCCATGTCGGTCTTGACGCTCTTTGCGCCCCTCACAGACGCATTTACGGTCCCGTCGCAGAACTAGCTGGTGGACCAATAGTAAGATAATATGGCCTGCAAATGACATGGACTTTTGCCAAGAGTTTGCTCCCATGGAGATGGACCGCCAAAGACGTCTGAGTTTGGTGCAGAAATGAGTGCTGCTTGTGGCAACTCTGATCCGCCGGATTCAGTTCTCTGAACATGTGACATCCCGGAATCCCGCCTCCCATCGTTCACTTTGAAGAACGCAGTCACCTGGCACGAAAAGTCATGACAAAACTTGATCCTGAGGGCTGTTCAAACTGGAGAGCCGATCCAAATCCAGAATCCCTTAAGAAACGACTCAAATGGGGAGCCCTTTCGTAACCCAAAGCTTGGATCTCTTTTTTATGGGGTATGAGTTTGAATCGGGGAAACCTTTTTGAGGTGAGAATTTGTTGATGTTAATTACAGGGCTACGGGTCAAAAATGCGTACCCAAAACGAAACCCTGGTAAATGGAACCAAAAGACTCAAACCTGCGGTCCCCTGGTGGTTGCATTTTGACCCATACCCACGTGGACGCCGCCAAGCATCAGGTTTCAGAAAACTTCCTCTGCCCTCCCCGATTGTGTGGCCGAGTCGAGCCGAGAACGAGGCCCGTGCCCGGTCCCCAGGCTCGAGGCGCATCACCTGCTCAACCTTGGGCCGAGCCAGGTGCACTCCTGGATCTCGTTCGGGACACTTGGAGCTGTGTTTGGTCCCGGATTTCGGATTTTTCGGGAGAAAGAAACGACCAGGGGGGGTGAAAACAGAAAAGGCTTGGGGTGTTTCAACAAGTGGCACCCTGATTCGGTCGCTTGTGAAACCTGCCCTGCGAAGCAAGGGATAGATAAAGAAAAACGGCAAACAAAGGCACTTCCGAGGTTCACCATCTCCAAATGGCAATGGCCGACATTTGGCCACATTGGGCAATGGATCGCCGAGCAAATGTCCAAAGCGCTGCAGGAATTGACAATCTGTGCGTCAAAATAGGGGGACCCCCCAATCTTGGAAGCGGTCCCTCTGGTTTCCCTTGTAAACTCAGCTGAAAATAATACCAACTCCAACAAACACGTGCCCGTTTCCTACTTTCACATGGCTAGTCAAAAATAGCTACCCAAAATGGCTTGCCCTGGGAAGTTACCCAACATGGACCAAATCCTGCGGTCCAATTCCTGGTGGTTTAATTTTGACCCGCACATGCCGCAAGGTGGCTACGATTCCGGAATCGTAGCTCTCGGCCCTCCTGCCAGTCAGCTATCAAGCCCTATGGACAATGCAGGAGGTAGGTAGTTCTCTTCATAACCCTCTCTGAAACCCTTAACGTAGGTGTCCTTTTAGAGGAAACAGATGATATGATATCCCTGGTAGACGAGGAAAAACCACCAGGTGTTTACCAGGAATCGCCATCTACTGTGTCGACCAAAACCAAAAAGGACACCTATGCTGACTAAGATTCAGCTGCCTTCCAATTAGTGGTTTCGTGGTTAGGGGTACAAGAACTAGAGGCTCAAATCCCCAAACCACCGATCCAAACCACCAATTAAGGGTCACCCGCAGATGCTGGGCCCTTTTCAACGCGATCTCAGCAATGGGCCCAGCCCATCGGCATGGTCTGGACGATCTGATCCTGAAACCTGGCAACGTGCCGCTGCGAAAGATCTTCTAATAACTCGCAAACATCTTGGTTTAGCTTGCGAAGATATGATTAGATCTTGGTATGGGTTGGTGGATTCTAATAGCTCAGGGTTGCAAGCATCCTCTTGATTTGACTTCGCAACTGGTATGGGCTTGGGACCAACCAAAAACAGAGGAAACCTGAGAACATGCCAACAGGAAATGGAAAAAGGTTACGCCGCCCGCCAAACCTCCAGCGACGCATGCGTAAGCTTTGCCCGAGACATGTTGCCGCTTTACGGGTGTAGCTTTCGTGGGCCAACCTCTGGGGTTTTCTCTTGCTGAAACCCGTGGGGTGGGATCGGTCGTGTGTTTTGGATCGGCCCTTTTTGATTGGAGGGAAACCAAAAGGAAAACCGTTGCGCGTTGATCTTGGGTCCCAAAAAACCCCGAAAACGACGAATGCGCGTTGAACTGTCCTTGTGAGTCAAGTGGACTGCTCGAGAAAGCACCAAAACCGCGCCTGATCTTCAGTCGACCCCCGTCCAGGACGGACACCACAATGCCCAGGTCAGTATTCACCGTCCGGCCCTGGGGCTTTGCTTCTAGACCAAATGGGGAACCCCTCGTTGGTTGGTTTTAAGGGTAAAACCAAAGGGATAACAGCCAGGTTCAAACCCATTTTAAGACAAACCCTTTTTTTTGCCCTCTACCATCTAGTTCACAAGCCCTCTTTGACTTCCCAATGACCTGATTACTGTTGACCCCTCTGCAAGAAGTTTAACTTTTTGTGGGTCCCCTCTGCAAAATCCAGCCTGTGTCAACCAAAAAGTTAAAATTCCAAAGATCCAACCAAATAGGCATAAAGAAGGATGTTGCCAATGCTTCGCGCCTTGAGCAAGCTGACTATGAGGGATGCTTGCTACACCAATGTGGTGTCACTGCATCCTGCAAAAAAACCTGGCCTGAACCATCAAATTCGACCCATGTGGTGCTTGTCATGCTACAAGCTGGCCCGTTTGAGACATGAGTGAATCCCACCGAAAACGTTCAATATGGACAGTTGGGTGAGATTCATCTCCACCACTTGTGACGTGGTTCCAACTAATACGAATTCAAATCGCCAAAGCCAACTGCACCAGTTGCCTTGCCCGAGGCGTAGTGAGCGTAGACAATGTCGCCAGGCCTTGGTCAGAAAAATGAATGCACCAATCCTCTTTCAAATTCAGCCGGTCATTGTCTTGTTCTGCAAAAAAGAACATGTCACCTCTTGCAAATGAATACCCATCGGCTAAAGACATCCATGGAGTCATTGGCATTGGATTGAAGCAAAGCTCTTCCAGTAGTGCTGAAATGCTCATTAGACTGACCAGATTTGACATGTTCCAAGAGAAAGCCATGACGTAACAGCAAATACATATTGGTGCTTCCGTTGTGGAAGCCAGAAAATGCGAAAGCGAGCAACTACAAAACCTGCAAAGATCCGCAGGAGAATGTGTATGCGTGTGTGTGTGTGTGCGCAACTGCAAACATGCAATGATCGCGAAACAAAGCGGACATTCGCAAGAAATGTGTGTGTCTGCGTGCAAATTTGGCGTTCTTTCCTCTCAGCGCCTTCTCCTCTCGTTGCCCCGACTCGGCAGCGGATTTCCTTCAGCGCCGGGCGCGAGGTCCAGATCCCAGGCGGACAGCCGCTCCGCGATCCAAGTCTGCGCGCTCCGGTGAGCGCGAATTGTCAGCATCCGGGCGAACTGGGGAGGGGGGTCGCTGTCCCTCAACTTGTCATAAGGCCTTATCAAGACCCAAAGGTCCGTGTTTTCAGATCCCGTGCCCATATCGCGCTAAAAAAACCAGCCTGAAAAGGGTACCCGCAGAAGAACGAATAAATACATATATACATGCATATGGTCTGGGTAAAAAATAGGTACCCAAATGCAACCCTTGTATAAATGGAAACATGGACCAAAACACCTGCGTTCCGTATCCTGGTGCTTTAATTTTAACCCAACCCAAAATGGTTTCAAGGTTTCTCATTAAAACCCACCAAAAATTTGGTGCTCTCAAAAGGACACATACATATTGAGTTTGCATCATACAAGTAAGTTCTTGCATGCACCTGCTCTTTGCGCCTTGGAGATACATTGGACCGCGCCGTCATCAAAGTGAATCTGCCGGAAGTGGCGGAAGCTATGGCTCCCTTGTCATGCCGACACACTTGATTTGGCCACGGTGCGCGCACACACTCACAGACAGAGACACAAACACGGATCTATATAATATATAAGCTTCCAAGCGCATGATTTGAACAAGATTCAAGTTCAGATCATATCGAATGATATCAATTCAAGTGACACATGTATCGAGCGTCAGGGTTCAGTGGGTAGATCAGGGACTGGGCATATATATATATATGTATATATATATATAATATACACATGAGGATGTGTTTTTTGGGTTCCCCAAAAAAATGTGGTTTCCTTTTGAGTTCCGTTTAAACCAACCTGAAAGGGGGTACCCTCAACAAAACGCACTTCGACACATCAATGCTGGGATGGTTCCGGTGTTGGAGGGTCGGGACATGACCCTTCTAGATTCGAGATAATTGTTCGTCCACCTTAAAAGGCAAATCATGTACTGACAAAATGGCTTGTTTCTCCAAGAGGAGATGGGAATACCAGCGAGGCCCAGAATTCTCATGGGACAATTAGAGCTTGTCCGCCATGTCCCAAACATACACTACTGGAATTGAGCTCTTGTGAGCAGCCCCCAAACCTATTGACAGTTGGTTATACCGTGGCTGTAAAGATCTTTTTCAGGCCTTGTCTTTGTGAAACCAGATAGTAGAACCTTTCTTGATCTCAAGAGAGATTCTCTTGCTCAGCTGTGGATGTACCATGGTTGCCTGCAAGTAGAACCACCAGAATGGCACTTCTGTGCTTGCAAGTGTGAGTGTACCATGGTTGTTTGTAGTGGAACCACCTTGAAAAGCGCGCGCTGCCCGGGGCTTTGGGGCGGTGAATTTGGAGGTGCCACTGGTTTTGGAGGCCAAAAACCAGCCTCAACCTCCGACGTGGTGAACTGCAGCAAGGTGCCCACGTCCGTGGCTGACGCGTCAAATCGGGTCGAACAAGAACCGATGCGGCTCATGTCGACCCCAGAGTAAACCCCTCGAGAGGGAAGTTCCCAGCAAGTGAGGAACCCCCACGAAAAAGGCACAGGGCTTTGCAGGAAAACCAACTTTTCAAATTCCTTGTAAAACTTACGCGGACGGACCTCGACGTAGCAAAAAGCGGCATTCAGCTCACCGACTCACGCGCCTGAACTCTTTGCTCCGTAGCGGTTCTGGAAGTGCGCACCTGGGCTCAAGGGAACGATCGATGCAGACTCGGTGTAACCGTTCAAACCGTTCAGGTTGGCTTGAAGGGAAACAAAAAGGTGATTGGGTGTGGCTTTTTCTGAGGGCCCCCTTTGTTTGACGTCTTTAAACATTATTGTATGTGTTTGTTATCATTTTTAATTACTTTTATTCTTATTTAAAACAAAAAGTAACTGGGCGGTCCCTTACTATGAGACACACCTAAATTACCATTCGTGGGCGGGGAATTTTCCCGGTGATGGCCATCTCTTGTGTGCCCGGCGCACGCGGTCGCCCGTCCGCAGGACTTGCTTCTGCGGACCCGCGAACATCCGGAGGCCATCGCCTCGGACGAACCAGGCGAGGGCCGGCGGCCGCAAATCCGTTTTCAGAGCGGGCGGTCTGTGGCCGTTTTCAGATCTGCGACAAGTGAGACTCACTTTTAGTGGGAGAAATTGGGACATCCAACCACTAAAGACCAGAAAGCTAAACCGTTTTCAGGTCTGCGACAAGTGAGACTCACTTTTAGTGGGAGAAATTCGGACATCCAACCACTAAAGACCAGAAAGCTAAACCGTTTTCAGGTCTGCGACAAGTGAGACTCACTTTTAGGGGGACAAATTTGGACATCCAACCACGAAAGACCAGAAAGCTAAACCGCTTTCAGGTCTGCGACAAGTGAGACTCACTTTTAGTGGGAGAAATTGGGACATCCAACCACGAAAGACCAGAAAGCTAAACCGTTTTCAGGTCTGCGACAAGTGAGACTCACTTTTAGTGGGAGAAATTCGGACATCCAACCACGAAAGACCAGAAAGCTAAACCGTTTTCAGGTCTGCGACAAGTGAGACTCACTTTTAGTGGGAGAAATTCGGACATCCAACCACGAAAGACCAGAAAGCTAAACCGTTTTCAGGTCTGCGACAAGTGAGACTCACTTTTAGGGGGACAAGATTCGGACTTGACTTAGGACGGACATCCAACCACGAAAGACCAGAAAGCTAAACCGTTTTCAGGTCTGCGACAAGTGAGACTCACTTTTAGTGGGAGAAATTCGGACATCCAACGCGACAAGTCTCACTTTTAGTGGGACAAATTGGACATCCAACCACTAAAGACCAGAAAGCTAAACCGTTTTCAGGTCTGCGACAAGTGAGACTCACTTTTAGTGGGAGAAATTGGGACATCCAACCACTAAAGACCAGAAAGCTAAACCGTTTTCAGGTCTGCGACAAGTGAGACTCACTTTTAGTGGGAGAAATTCGGACATCCAACCACTAAAGACCAGAAAGCAGAAACCGTTTTCAGGTCTGCGACAAGTGAACTCACTTTTAGTGGAGAAATTCGGACACCAACCACTAAAGACCAGAAAGCTACTAAAGTTTTCAGGTCAGCGACAAGTGCGACTCACTTTTAGTGGGACAAATTGGACATCCAACCACTAAAGACCAGAAAGCTGAACCGTTTTCAGGTCTGCGACTCACTTGTAATGGGAGAAATTCGGACATCCAACCACTAAAGACCAGAAAGCTACTCAAAGGAGACACAGTTTTCACAACAACGGGGGAACCCGGGACCTTAAAAGGAACGAACCCCGCCGTGACTGCGACCTCTCCCCTAACCTTGTGGGCAGCGCGTGCAACGCGCTCTTTTCAGCACTTGAGCCAAAGCGACATGCGATCATGTCATGCTTGGTCATTAAATTGTTTGTACAACATGTTGCAAGTCATCTGACTCATGTAACCTCTGGGCCATAAATGTCATCGTGATAATTGACTCCCCCCTCATTGACGGCACTGAGGGAGTGTCTTGGGCGCACTACCACGCCAACTTGAAGTCAAGTTTACATCACAACGACTGACGCAAGTTATTCAAGCATCGCCCAGTCACTTGCACACTTTTGGAAATTTTGCGGACATGCTGCAGCGCACTAGGCAGCTGCTTTAGCGGATCTACTTTCACGCACGTCTTCAAGCTTCTCTGGAAGGCCAACACGAATGCCGAGCAACCGGATGGCATAGTCCCACTTGTTGGGTGGAAGTGCTTTGGTGAAGATGTCTGCTGACTGCATGTCTGTTTGGACGTATTCTGTTGAGATGCGTTCGCTTTCAAGCTGCTCTGCGATGCAAGCGAGGTTCACCTTGTGCGTGCGTTGTACACAGCGTAGCTTGGATGAGAAACCCTTCTTTGCTACGAGGATGGTGGCCTGATTGTCCTCGTGGATCTTGAGATGGAATGGTCTGTCCAAGATCAGCTCCCATAAGCTCCTGGTACAGGGAGTACGCAAGAGACACGATTTCTGCCTCGGTTGTCGATCGGGAGACCGAGGTCTGCCTTTTAGACACCCACGCGAGGGGAAAGTGCGTATGTGGACCACTTAAAACCAAGAAGCCTCCGGACGTTGATTTTGCGTCTCGTTCTCCAGCGAAATCGGCGTCCACATAGAGAGACAGATGCAACTCATCAGTCGAATCCTGAACTGCGCCAACTAACGTGCTGTTAACCGTGCTGTTTATGTAGCAGATAAGCCTATGTAGCTGCTTATCGCAGTTTCTAGACCATTTCTGTACAAAGGAAGCAAGGTCGCCGATGGGCTTGACCAGGTCCGGGCGTGCCAAACGCCCTAACCATAAGGCTTTCATCAACACGCGGCAAGCGGCGAAGCCGAGCTCACCCTCCAAGGCGTCATCTGCAGGGTCTAGAGATCCAGCGGGACAGAATGGAGTGGTGGCATCACGCAACTTTTCAGTTTTTAGCTGCGCAACCTCAAGATATAACGCAACCGTTTGACGAGCATAATCTCGCATGTCGAACGCCATGCCCCCTTTCAATCTGCCCATTGCGGCATTAAGATCGGGTTCAGTTGGGTCCTTTGGAGCATCTATCAAAAGGTGATTCCTGCCTAGCACCCGATATATGTCTTCTGGGGGTTCTATATCAACCAGTCTTGTTAACTTTTCCCAGAAGTCTTTATGAAGGTGGCTGGGGCCGGCCAACGTCAAGTCGTCGACGTATGTCGAGAGAAGTAACCCGGACTCCTTGAACCAGAAGTTTCCAGGAAACTCTGCGACCTCACGCCCTCCAAGTTCACTAATGAAACCTTTGAGGTGTGCCTCCCAGAGTCCGCCAGCGTCAGGATGCCCATAAAGAGCTTTAACGAGCAAAACCACAGGTTTCACGAAACGCTCGCGCCACCACCTTGGCCGGAGCTCAGGCGGGAGTGTGATCCAAGTTTGGTACTTGGATTTCAGCAGTGCTTGCACATAAGCCTTTATAGCGTCCGCTGTTGTGGTGGAGTTCCCTGGCAGGGATCCATAAGCGAGACAGTTATTAAGACCTTGTACGCTCGTGGGATTTGCTCCCAGTTCTTGGTAGACAGCTGCTGCGCCATGTTCGTCTTTCGCACAGTCTCCGCGATACACAATCCTACCTTTCATCTTCTGAAGGTGTTTCGCGAGTTCGGCGAACTTGACGGATGCTAGCGACATCAACTGCCCGAAATGAACTTTTATACTGGATCGTCGCGCCTCAGCAGCGACTTGATCATACTCTCGGACTGAGTTTAGATCCCAAACACCGGCTTTCTCCAGGCCTGTGGCTTCAAGTCGAACGGCTTCAAGGGCTTCCGGGGAAGCCAACATTTCGGCACGTGACAAGAGTCTGGTCACCATTGCGGTGATTTCAGGATCCTTCTCCTCCTTGACTTGTTGTAGGGAATGTGCGATGAGATTTTCAACATCAAGAACTTGTTCAAGGATGTCGTGACACTTTTCATCGGACTCGACAGCAATACCTATATCTTCCAAACCAGAGAGAGGGGATATGTGTTTTAGCTGCTGTTCACGTTCCCGGTGGTCGAGAGGCAATGGCACTTGGACAGGCATCGCAGGCACAACGGGTTGTACTGTCGGATACAGCGCACGGGCAACTGTGAGACACATGCCTTCGGGGTAGAAAGCGGTCTTTGCGGTCTTGTTACCTGCTGCAAGCGAGTGCTTATACCCTTTTTCGTGCGGACACTTGAATGCACCTAGTGCAGATGCGAGGGTGCTATTGCTGGTCATGACTTTCCATGGCTTTTTGATGGGGTAACCATTGCTGTCCTTCAGACCCAGGGCGCAACCGTGGAAGGTCGCTGGGGTGAAGACCTGTGCGTATTCCCTAAAGAATGCAGAAACATCATCCCTAGCCCAGCTGTCGCAATCCCTTGGCCATTCAAACGAAACACTACCCCCCTGATGGAGGACAGTCTCAGCGTGACGTCTGAATCTGGAGAACAACTCTCTCGACTCTCTAACTTTTTGTTTCAGTTTCTTTTTGAACTGGCTTCCTAACTTGGCCTTATTAAGGCGTTGCCATGCTGAACCTGATGTGCAGGGGATTGCAGCCCAGAGATTGGGTTTATCACAACCTTCTATCTGTGACTGCAATTGGATTTCTCCTTCATCTGTGCTAAGGTCGATGAACTCTTTAGCCAGCCTAACATGAGGTATGCCAAGACCTTCAAACACGCGACCCATATTGGACTCTGGTGAGCATGCGTATTCAAACATCACAGGCAACTTATCCATGCGTGCCTGTCGTTTGCGGGCACGATGATTTCCTACCTCAAATTGCTTGGGCGGCGGAGCTTCAACCTCTGCGCTGCACGGCATGCCAAAAATTGGCAATGTATCTGGACGACCGTTCTTTGACGCTTCGGTGAGAGGTGTCGGCGGTACGGACTCTAACATCACGGCTGCACCTGTGGTGATAACGCAATCGGACTGAATGGGTTTTAACTTGAACACTGTGAACCCGGTCCATGGATCTCCAAGTGAGCGATTAGGTCGGCTACCAAACCAACCATCGTGATTGCCCCCCTGAAACACGGCACGAGTGGTGCGAGCTACAGTAAATCTTTCTGGGGAAACGGGGCAATCCTCGACCTCCTTTGGAGTAAAAAGATTCTGCCTTGGCATGATATGGTACCGAACCAAACAGTTGGCATTTTCTTTGAATACCCAAACATCTTCACCTTGCGATGTAGCGGCTGTCGCTGGCGCGGAATCGAAAAATGAGGCACCGGGTCTTGAGGGAGCGGGCTCCCCAGCTTCGGCTGCATCAAATTCATGCGCTACGTCTTCTGCAGTAACTGCGATCTTGGGATCTTTATCGTGCTCGGATGCGTGGATTGCTCTGGCTAGCTCCTCATCCCCTTCAGTATGAACAATGGGAATAGGTTCCTTAGATTCAATTTTGGCAGCGCTTTTTGCAGCTGCTTCAGCTCTATCTGCAGAAACAAGTTCGGAGAACCTCTTCTTGCATTCAGCACTGTGAATCTTGGAATGACCGGTGCATGCACGACA